GGAGAGAGAGAGAAGCAAGGGGGGGGGGGGGAAAAAAAAACAGAGAGAAAAATGGGGGGAGAGAGGGGAGGGGAGAGGGGAGGGGAGAGGGGAGGAGAGAGAGGGAGAAAAGGGGGGAGAGAGAGAGAGGGGAGAAAAGAGAGAGAGAAAAGGGAAAAAAAGGAAAAAGAAAAAGGGGGGGGGAATTTAAAAGGGGGGAGAGGTTTTTGGGAAAGGGTTTTGAGGGGGGGGAAAGGGGAAATTATAAAAAAAGGGGAAAAAAAATGGGGGGGTATTTTAGAGAAAAAAGAAAAAACCCCAGGAGGTAAGAGGTAATGAAGGTCTGAGGACCTAGTCCTAATCGACGTTTTCCCCCTTAAATTTAGGGGGGTTTTTTTTTTCCCACATTTTCCCCTTTAAATTTCTTTCATTTAAATTTCTTCGGATGTTTTTTACTTTTGGGGGTCTTTAAAATTGGGGGGTTAACCTAAGGGGGGGGCCCTTTTTCCCCCCAAGATTCTTGGAAAATTTTTAACTTCTCTCGTTTTTTCCCCCATGCCCTATGTGGGAGTTACCTTAACCCGGGAAAATTCCCCTAAATTCAAAACTTCTCCCTTTTCCCCTTTTTTCCCCCCGGAGGTTTTTAAAAGGATTTTTTTTTGGGCCCCCCCTTGGGGTTTAAAAACCTTTCCCCGAGCCGCCCGAGGGGAAGGGGTAGTTGGAGGGGGATTTTTGGGTCTGATCTTCCCCCCTGAAAAATGAGGGGAGGGTTTTAAAAGGAGAAAATTAAAACCCCGGATTTGGGATTAGGGGTTTTTCTGGGAAAGAGGGGGGGAAAGTAAGTTTGTACTGAAAACTGGAGGAAAGTAATTCTATAAAAAGAAATGGGGGCCGCGGAAAAAATTTCTTTCCTTTTCTTTCTGTCTTTTTTGCTGGTATCTTTTTCTTCCCGGGGGGGGGGCCTTTTTACCCCCCCCAAAAAAAAAAATTTGTTTTTCTTTTCCCCCTCAAATAGATTTCCCCCTCCCCCTTTTCCTTTCCCCTTTTCCTCCTTGGTTATCCCCCGAACCGGGGCCCATCCCCCCTTGGAGATTTAAATGTTTTCTTTTTTTCGAGTTAATTCCCCCCCTTTTCCTGATTTTGGGGTTTGAGCCTTTTCCCCCCTCCCCTGGGGGGGTTGTTTTGACCCCCGGGGGGGTTTGAGGGGGAAAATAAAGGGGGGGAGAGGAAAAGGGGGAGGGCCCGAGGGGGAGAGAGGGGGAGGAAAAGGAAAAAACAAAGAGAAGAGGGGGGGTGGGGGGGGTAAAAGAGAGGGGGGAGGAAAAAAAATTGGGGGAGAGAAAGAAAAAAAAAACTGGGGAGGGGAGGGGGAGAGGGGGGGGGGGGGGAAAAGAGAGAGCAAAAAAAAGGGGGGGGGAGGGGGGAGGGGAAGAGGGGGAGGGGAATAAGAGAAGGGGGGTGGGGGGAAAAAAAATAGGGGGGTAGGAAAAAAAAATAGAAAAAAATTAAAATAGGTTAAAATAAAATAGATAGATGAGTATACAAGATGTAGATAATAGATAGGGGGTGTGAGTCTTTTTCTTAATAGGACTCCTTCAAACACACCTGCTGCCAGAAACGCCATTTAATGTCAGCCGTCCGTATCGGACCCACACACTGGCCCCTGTCCCATGAGCCTCCAGGGTAAGTTCAAGGTCGGCCTGCCAGGCTGATGCCATGGTCTGTGACTCAGACCGGAGCGGGTGGCTGAGCAGGCTGCCAGTAGAAGATGCCCTCAGGCACAGGTCTGGAATCAGCTTACCCTCACCATCCCAACATTTACCATAAGGGGTAAATCAACTACACATTATAATATACACTGAGTATACAAACCATTAATAACACCTGCCGTTTCCATGACATAGACTGACCAGGTGAATCCAGGTGAAAGCTATGATGTCACTTGTTAAATCCACTTCAATCAGTGTAGATGAAGTGGAGGAGACAGGTTAAAGAAGGATTTCTAAGCATGGATTGGGTATGTGTACCATTCAGAGTATGAATGGGCAAAACAAAAAACGATTTAATATTAGGAAGGTGTTCTTAAAGATGCAATATGTAACTTTTTGGGCGACCCAACCAAATTCACATAGAAATGTGTGTTATAGATCTGTCATTCTCACTGAAAGCAAGTCTAAGAAGCAGTAGATATGTTCTATGTGCAATATTTCTATGCTTCCCGTTCTTAAGTTTCGTTTTTGCATCTTTTACTTTTGTTTTTTTACACCAGCTTCAAACAGCTGAAAATACAATATTTTTGGTTATGGAAAATATATTTCACAGCGGTTTAGATGGTAGAATGATTCACTACACTATATTTGCTTGTTTTGTCACATAAACTGAAATTAGGCTAACTATTAGAATTTTAGCAACCAGGAAAAGGCGGAGCAATTTCTGCATAGTGCATCTTTCATATTTTGTATAGTGTATGTTATAATAATGTTATAAGACATGGTATTAGATTGTGTACATTTTGATTTCAACAAGGGTTTTTGGTTGAAAACTATAATGGCCAAAGGCAAGCCAGACTCTATAACTCTGTGGGTTCCCCAGCCCTACTGGACTGGTAGCACCACCGTACACAGGGAAATAACTATTCATCTCAATTAGCCCGTTGGACAGTCCTCTGCTACGACTGGGTGGCTACTGGGCTGAGAGATAGAAAAGAAACACACACACACACACACACTTCCTGGTGTGAGCACACTGTTGCATGTGTAATATGATGGATGCGGCTGAATCAAGAGCGCACACACGCCTGTTAATATAATCTCATATAATCTGCTATTCTAATCCAATCTAGAATACTCACTGACATTAAAACCATTCATCTCATTGGCAATGGGACTTGGGTGTGTGAGGGCTGCTTCATTCATTCATTCATTCATTCATTCATTTATTCATTCATGTTCTACCCGCTTCTATCCCCCCTGTCCATTGTTGCAGCTGTGTGTCTCTTGATCTAATTTGATAGATCCAACGCCTCACCGATGCAGTCCAGCAATCATTGGTGCGCTTGCTCCTTAATTGGCAATTTCTCCAAGTGCCACACACCCAGTTGGGGGCCAACTATAAATAAACCCAGCGATTGCTCTCTGAGAATAAACCGTTTTTTCCCCACCCTCACACACCCGTCTGACAGCAGCGTGTCGAATGAATGAACCAGGAGGGCGTGCAGGCAGACAGAGAGAAAACGCTCTCCCCCTAAAACATGGGCTTGTCTTTACATTTATTTACTCTGAATACCCGCCGTGGCCTCTCTGCGTAGCTCAGCTGGAATAACTCAGCCGATATTTGCTCTGATGAAAAATGGTTTGCTCCTCTGATTCAAAAGTCAGTTGTCGTTAAAGCAAATTCCCACTGAAGCGTCAGTCTGTTGTATTATTCTCTATGATGTCTCTTCTCATTTCAGAGACACGATATCCATTACGCTATTAGAGTATACAGTTGGCTCAACAACCCCAGTGACTGGACCACTGATCTGACATGACAACCTATTCTGAGGTTGTTCCGGTGTATCTGGGAATCAATAGATCAACAGTGCTGTAAATTAGCCTAACCTAGAAGCATTATACTACAACGCACCTGGCCGTGGGTGATTCGGTGGTCAGCATGTCACTGTTTTAATTGTGTTTGTTCCCTATAGAAACCATTGGAGGAATGAAATGGGATTGTCACATCAAAACCACTGAGCCTCAGATGAATGTCTTCTTCAGGAAATATGCATCAACTTATACTGCAATGCATTTATTGCCACATAATTAGACAATGTTGACAATAACACCACAAAAAAAATGGGGAAGTCTCATGCAGATATGAGAGATGTAAGATAAGAAAAAAACGTTATTGTCCCTCAGGGGACACCGCTGTAAACATATAAGCCATGTTTCGATGTCATACTTGATTCTTATTTAATAGGAGAAAATATTCATCTCTAATAAAATCCTCAATGGTGTCATAACCTTTTCTCCGTCTGCTGCACCCAATGATAGCAGTGTCTAATGTGAATTAATGACTGCCAACATTAGCAGTGATGCATTATCAATCAACGCAGACCTTAGAATGGAGAGGGGGGCAAAAGGTTTCAAAACAAGTCTTCAAACTCACTGAGGCTTATTAGATTAGAAAGAAAGTCATTGTCACTTTGTTTATCCAATAATTTATTAGCCTACATCAGAATTTTGTCAAGTGAAAAAAAAATGTAAATACCAGGTCCCATATCAACAAAGCGTTTCAGAGTAGCAGTACTGATCTAGGATCTGTCCATATAATTTATTAATTATGATCTAAAAGGCCAAACTGATCCTAGATGAGCACTCCTACTCTGAGAGGCTTTGTGGATCAGAACAGAAAAATGGCTATCCTTATTGGTAGTCAATAATAGATATAGAACAATTAGAATGACTGTCAACTGATATATTGTCTATTGGGTCTATAAGGTATCTCCTAAGTGAAGTATAGTATGAGAGACATTCATCAATATAAACATCAGCTTCAATAACTGGATCCAGGCCAGATGAGCAGATGGCAGAGGGGTTCCCTGGCCTAGATGACAGTACAGGTTTGGCTCTGCAGGACCACAGGGATCCATCACATCTGTGATGTGCTCGCCAGCCCTGATGTTCTGTCCTCATTACTGCTGGATTCCAAAAATAAGGTGTTCATTAATCACCATGCCAACAGCTTTATTACATCACTCTTCACAAGGGGAAAAGAGTACAGTAGGGATAAAAAAAAGAAACACTCCAAGAGGAGCCTTTGGAAACAGATGAGCTGGGATGAAAGTAAACAAGGCCCCAAATGACTTCCTCTGTTCTAGTGGGAGGGGGTCTAGACGGGGTTAACAGTATTTGTGTATTAATGCTGCCTCCTACAGGAACCATTATGACATTGCAACAACCCCAACTACACCAGACCAGGCATTACTTAAACGCTCTTTCTGCTTACATTGCGGTATTGCTATAGAAAGGAATGACAGAAAATGTTTTATTGTAAGAAGGCAACTTTATTTCACATTATCCAAGATGGGAGACAAGAGGGTAAAAGAGTTACATATATGTTGTCTGATAAATATGAACAGAAGATAAAAATCCCCCCCCAAAAAGCATGTATGTGGGGGACAGTCAAATATGAAGGATAGCCATATGGAAAGTCACGGTAGTCTCCGGAGTGCCGGTAAGAGTCTGAGTCAGTGTGATCAGAATGGCTTTATGTAAGTTTAGAGGCGGGTTTGGGTTTTGTGGCATGATGGTTATGTTCAGGTGTGTGTGTGTTCAGAAGGGCCTCCCCATGCCCATGCGTGGGTTTAGCGGCGGAGCTCTGTTGGGTGGTGTGATGGCTATGTCCAGGTAGTCTCCTATCTGGAAACGTTGGGACTGTAGCGTCATGGAGTCATTTTCCCCCTTTCTGCCTGACACAGTGTTGCCGATGTCTTTCACTCTGTAACCATAGAGACCGGGGGTGAGACAACAGTGCTTTCATAATGACATCATCCAATCAAACAACTGAGGCCATGTTTAAATACTTTTGAAAGGCTAACACTAACACAGCCGATTCAACTAATCCACTTCCCACCAAGCTCTTGATTAAAGATAGAGTCAGCAACGCACAAAACAAACAGCTACGTCAGGCCGACTTCCGCAACAACTACAGTGCATTCGGAAAGTATTCAGACGCCTTGACATTTTCCACATTTTGTTACGTTAGCCTTATTCTAAAATGGATTAATTCATTGTTTTCCTCATCAATCTACACACAATAACCCATAATGACAAAGCAAAAACTGGTTTAGAAATGTTTGCTAATTTATTAAAAATAAAAAACAGAAATACCTTATTTACATAAGTATTCAGACCCTTTGCTATGAGACGTGAAATTGAGCTCAGGTGCATCCTGTTCCTATTGATCATCCTTGAGATGTTTCTACAACTTGATTGGAGTCCACCTGTTATAAATGCAATTGATTGGACATGATTTGGAATGGCACACATATACCTATATATATATATATATATATATATATATATATATATATGTCTATATAAGGTCCCACAGTTGACAGTGCATGTCAGATCAAAAACCAAGTCATGAGGTCTAAGGAATTGTCCGTAGAGCTCCGAGACAGGAATGTGTCGAGGCACAGATCTGGGGAAGGGTACCAAAACATTTCTGCAGCATTGAAGGTCCCCAAGAACACAGTGGCCTCCATCATTCTTAAATGGAAGAAGTTTGGAACCACCAAGACTTTTCCTAGAGCTGGCCACACTGAGCAATCGGGGGAGAAGGGCCTTTGGTCAGGGAGGTGACCAAGAACCTGATTAAGCGAGCAGTGTGTCAAGAAGCAGTGCGGCTTGGCAGGGTCGTGTTTCGGAGGTCGCATGGCTCTCGACCTTCGCCTCTCCCAAGTCCGTACGGGAGTTGCAGCAATGGGACAAGACTGTAACTACCAATTGGATATCACAAAATTGGGGAGAAAAAGGGGTAAAAAAAAAAAGAAGAAACAATTCTAAAAACCTGTTTTTATCATTATGGGGTATTGTGTGTAGATTGAAGAGGGGGAAAAAACGATTCAATCAATTTTAAAATAAGGCTGTAACGTAACAAAATGTGGAAAAAGTCAAGGGGTCTGAATACTTTCCGAATGCACTGTATATAATGGGGAATCTGTTAAAATGCATTACCATAATCTAAATGTGATTTCTGTCATCCTGAACACTGTGGGTGGACCCCCTAATGGTTATGCACCCAACGCATATGGGTCCGGTAAATTCAAATCTTCCCGCTCACGTAGTCCAGCGCCACATTTTCCTAACAGAAACCCAGGTGTGTTAGTACTGGACTGGAACAAAACCATGCACACCCTGTGTCCAAGATTATAGAACATGGCTTGACTTGGATCTACAACAGCCCAGTTGCCCTTAAGGTAGACTCAATGAGCGAGATGCAAGACTTCGCTCTCACACAGTCACACACAGTATCTGCGCATGTGAATGGGTTCGCTTCAAGCTGTTACAGCGTGGTAGCCATGGGACCAAAACAGAGAAGTTGAGACTCGCGCTTAGTTGTTGCTGAAATTGGCCCACTATGCTGTTTACTTTCTGCATCTACATCATATCGCTGACTCTACCTTTAAGCTAGGACTGTAGTGTAGTATACTAACCTGTAGCCATTTCTTTTGGGCTCGGGATAAACGATGGCGAAACCAAAGTGTGTTCCTTTCTTCCGAGCTTCAGGGTACACCTCCTTCACCAGGCTGGTCAGCTCCTTTAGTGAGGCATCCATCCTTCAGGCGAATAACACAACATCATATATCACCACAATACTCAAAACTATGTAGCCATGGTACCCTGCATAATACACACAACACAATCACCAGTGCTCGACTTGGGCAGGCGCTCACCAGAGCAGAGTGCCGGCACCTAATTTTTTTACTCCTTGAGTTCGTGCACTTCTTCTAGAATAGCGCAAAAGTATTGTGGAGCTCCTGCGCCTAAATATAATATAAACAGAACCGGCACCCAAAATGAGTACCGGCACCTATTTCAGTCCAAGTCGAGCACTGGCTATCACATGACCCTAGGCAACCACTTATATCTTCTTACCATGTGTAGATTTGCAGCTCACTTGAAGGGACTTGTCCTCGTGCGAATTCGTCCACTCTGTGATGCCTGCCACTGTTGGTCGTAAATACCCGCAGCAGAAGAGGACAAGTCTATGGACACACAAACAGTTAGCTAACTGGTTAGCCAGGCTCGTAGCTAGTCTTCTAGAAAATGTGGTAGCAGGAAAAATATTAAATGCCCGTATAGCCGCTTACAGAACTACAACCAATTAGTTTAGTTTGAAGTGGGAGTCACTTGCACAGTTCAAGCAGTGCAGCTACGTTTGCTAGCTAACACAGACTCGTTAATGCTAGCTACGTTAGCTAATTGCCGTCTCACAAACCAAGCGAAGATAAAGTGCTTATAGCTACCTTTTCCCGGTCGATAGGCTTTTCTGGTATTTTTCGAATCTCTTCTTGTGTGATTCTTGATTCAAGAGCCATTTTAGGGGGTAAATAAATGAATTAATTCACGTTGTTGCTCACTGCAGAAAATATGCAAACACTTTGCCAAATAGTTGTTTCCGTTTCCGCCTTCGCAGCATGATGACGTAGGAAAGGTGCCCAAAAACTTTACAAAACTTTAACGATTGCCGTATAAAAAACATATACGAATAGATTGCAGTTAGGTTAATTTTACAACCACTTTTGATAAACATCTGATCTCTCCAGTCCCATTAAAGATAGTTCTCAAGTGAATGATTGTATTTCTAGTTTTCTCCCAACAGGTGGCGGTAGACAATTATAGCCATTCTTATGGTCAGTGCTAGCCGGAATCCTTGGGAGGTCCATTTACATTTGAGTAATTTTAGCAGACGCTCTCATCCAGAGCGATTTACAGTTAGTGAGTGCATACATTTTCATACTGGTCCCCCGTGGGAATCGAACCCACAACCCTGGTGTTGCAAGTGCCACGCTCTACCAACTGAGATACACGGGTCCCTACCCTAACCTTAACCCCTACCCTTATCCTAACCATAACCATAACCCATATCTAACCGTAACCTGAACCCTTAACCATTTTAAATGTCAACCTCAATGGGGTAGGGACGTCCCAGGGATCCCAGATAGCAGGGACCCCATTCTTATGGGACAGGGGTGCATCTCCATAGTCTAAATCTCCTCTCCTCAATAAGGTTCAGTTACTGTAAGTGGATGTCTACTGAGAATATTCTTTCACTTCCCAGTTCATGTTAATGCAGATAAAGGAAAGGAGAGGTGAAGAAGAAGTCACTATTGAAACTTCATCATTTGTGTTAAGACATAATAATTTTCTAGAGATTGAGGTGTGGCTCAAATCTGACATAATGCATTAATTGATTTGTCTGCAGGAGTGTGGACAGTGCATGTCAATATACAGTAGTCCACAAAGCATACCAGAGAGAGTGGGCAATGTAGTGCACGTGTAGGCTATCTATCAATGCTGATCATTTTTTCTATGTATGGGTGTGTGTGTTTGTAGTTGTGTTCGTGTCTACGTATGCCTCTGCTTATCTACACATACTGTACTGACTCTGTGAGTATGTAAATGTACTGTATGTACATGATGGGCTCACCTCCGCTTTTGCAGTTGGGTCTGCATTGCAAGCCCCATTGTCTGAGCCTCTGGCCTGGACCTTTGTGTGCGTGCGCTCGGGCAAGGGTGCACATGTGCATGCTTGTGTGTGTGGCATGCCAGCAGGAGTGGGACCGTCCAGTCGTAAATCACCTCTGACCCCTGTTCTCAGATCAGCCCAAACCTCCCTCATCAGGAGTTACACAATACAGCTGTATATCAAACTTGTTTTGCCTTGAAATGAAATGAGTCAACCCAAATCCATCAGGTGACTTCTGGCCTTATAACACAACTAAAGACAACTGTGAGATTACTCTTTGATACAGTTTATCAGTATTCAAACTTCTGTGTATTGAAGAAACTAGAGTCGAGCACGTTCCACCCTCATCTATCACAACTAACTTGGCTGGGATCAGTGGTAATTGTCCACCTACACGGCCGAGACCTGCTGTTTGGTCACATGCAGCTAGAGCCTCTCTCTCCCACTGTCTATCCTTCCCGCTGAGAGAGCCCTCACACTGGCTTCCTCTGTTCTGCTGCTGGCTGGATGACCAGGGTCTACTCTCACTAACAATCACATCCATTTTACCCCTCTCAGCCCCACACCAGAATTCTCATGGATCCACTTGAAAGAATCTATCCGCCACTCTCTCTCTCTCTCTCTCTCTCTCTCTCTCTCTCTCTCTCTCTCTCTCTCTCTCTCTCTCTGTCTCTCTCTTCTTTCTTCTTTCTTATTTTCTTCTCCCTCTCTCGCTTTCTCTCTCTCTTTCTCTTTCTCTCGCTCCACTCCTCTCTCTCTCTCTCTCGCTCTCTCTGTCTCCCTCTTCCACAACAGTGTGTTTTAGAGCCCTCCCGAGACACTGATATCCATTCATTGATATGCATCTGAAATAAGTGATGCTGTTATTTTCGTAATAACCGGATTACGATCAATGGCTACCCCTCCATCTCCTCTCTAAAAAGGGATTGTTTCCTCTCTCCATTTTCTCTCATTCCCCCCGAATCCCTCCGTCCTCTATGTGTTTAGTTCTAATGTATTAACTCCTCTCTTTAGATGGACACAATGGGGCCTTGTAACCCTGCTGGTGTTGGTTCTGCCTCAGGGAGAACAGAGACATTTACTGTAGCTACTGTACCTGAATCTGGTAACATGGTGACTGACTGATGTGAAAAGTGGGGATGGAGAGCGGAGGTAGACACTTCACAGTCTCTTTGAAAGGGTATACTGTAGACTGATTTGGAAGGTAATTTGGTCATTTTAGTGTGTGCTGCCCGGGTGCTGGACGTGTGTGCATGTATGTGTGTGTGCGAGTCACTGTTCATTTAGGCTTTCTCTGGGCTGTGAGTGTCTGATTGCTGTATATGGAGCAGCAGTAGATAGGGTATTATGGCTAAAATGCCAAATCTCTCTGCTCACCTGAAGACAGGTACTGTAATGGGGTGGGGGTTGGGGGGGGGGGGGGCAGAGATGGGAGTGACACGACATAGATGAGACCTTTGGTTATAATGAGCATACCTCACTGCCTCAACATCTTTGGTATTTGGTATTTTATTAGGATCCCCATTAGCTGTTGCGAAAGCAGCAGCTACTCTTCCTGGGGTCCACACAAAACATGAAACATGACATAATACAGAACATTAATAGACAAGAATAACTAAAGGACAGAACTACATCAATCTAACGTAACACCAAGTAATTTAGTCTCCTCAACTTGTTCAACAGCCACACCATTCATTACCAGATTCAGCTGAGGTCTAGAACTTAGTTAGTCTGCTCTTAGTTTTAGAGATGATCAGGACCAGTTTATTCCTGGCCACCCACTCCAAAACAGACTGCAGCTCTTTGTTAAGGGCTTCAGTGACTCCATTAGCTGTGGTTGCGGATGCGTATATGGTTGAAACATCAGCATACATGGACACACATGCTTTGTTTAATGCCAGTGGCCGGTTATTGGTCAAAATAGAAAAGAGTAGAGGGCCTAGAGAGCTGCCCTGTTTGACATTAGAGAAGCTTCCATTAAAGAAAACCCTCTGAGTTCTATTAGATAGATAGCTCTGAATCCACAATATGTCCGAGGTTGAAAAGTCATAACACATATGTTTTCTCAACAACAGGTTATGGTCAATAATGTCAAAGGCTGCACTGAAATCTAACAGTACAGCTCCCACAATCGTATTATTATCAATTTCTCTTAACCAATCATCAGGCATTTGTGTCAGTGCAGTACATGTTGAGTTCCCTTCTCTATAAACATGCTTTACCACTCTTGGGTAGCGGAATGACTTTGGCTTCCCTCCAGGCCTGAGGACAAAGACTTTCCTCTAGGCTCAGATTAAAGATATGACAGACAGGAGTGGCTATAGAGTCAGCTACCATCCTCAGTAGCTTTCCATCTAAGTTGACAATGCCAGGAGGTTTGTCATTATTGATCGATAACAATACTTTTTCCACCTCTCCCACACTAACTTTACAAAATTCAAACTTGCAATGCTTTTCTTTCATTATTCGTTTTTTATGCTTGAGTACGATGGCTCACTGTTAGTTGTTGGCATTTCTTGCCTAAGTTCGCCCACTTTGCCAGATAAATAATCATTAAAATAATTGGTGAATAAGCCATCTGATTCGATGAAAGATGGAGTTGAATTTGTCTTTCTGCCCATAATTTCATTTAAAGTACCCCAAAGTTTTTGTTCCATTATTCTTTATATCATTGATATTGGCTTCATAATACAGTTTCTTCTTCTTTTTGTTGAGTTTAGTCACATCATTTCTAAATTTGCAGTAAGTCAGCCAGTCAGATGTGCAGCCAGACTTATTAGCCACTTATTTACCCAATCTCTTTCAACCATACAGTTTTTCAATTCCTCATCAATCCATGGAGCCTTAACAGTTCTAACAGTCAGTTTCTTATCAGGTGCATGTTTATCAATAACTGGAAGAAGCAATTTCATGTCTGGATGGTCCTTATTAATCACATCAGACCAACAAATATTTTAAACATCATCCACATAAAAGTCACAGCAAAATCTTTTATATGATCTCTTATACACTATTTTAAGCCCAGTGTCACGCCCTGACTCAGGGGACGTTTATTTGTAGAGTCAGGGTGTGTATATTCCTTGTTATGTTAAGTTTTCCATGTTAGTGTCTAGATCATGTAGATCTATGTTGGCCAGGGTGGTTCCCAATCAGAGGCAGCTGTAGCTCGTTGTCTCTGATTGAGGACCATACTTAGGCAGCCGTTTGGCACCAGTCTGTGTGGGATCTTGTTCCGTATAGGTATGTTATTAGTCTACCTTGGACTTCACGTATCGTTTGTTTGTTGTTTTGTTCGTGTTCAGTACGTTAATAAATATGTACGCTTATCACGCTGCGTCTTGGTCCGTCTCATCCGTAGACGATCGTGACAGAATATCCCACCAAATGAGGACCAAGCAGCGTGCCCAGGAAGAGAGAATAGCGATGTCTCAGGTGGGCAAATGGTGGTCATGGGAGGAGATATTCGCGGGGAAAGGGCCATGGGCGAAGGTAAATGCCCAGGCAGGAGAGGAGAAACGGCGCCAACCGTGCCGACGACGGACACCCGAGAGGCAACCCCAAGAAAATGTTTGGGGGGGGGCACACGCCGTGGACGACGAGGCAGCAGGAGGCAGCGACAGGGCGAATCTGCAGACTAGGAGAGGAGGCCACCAGGTTACGGGGGCTATTGGTCCAGAGGGAGCAGGAGTTAATTGGTCAGAGGGAGGAGCTACAGGAGGCGATAAGGGAGAAGGAGAGTGTAAAGGCACGGCGAGAGGAGCTGGTTAGGCAGCAGATGGAGCGGGGGTTTATAAGTGGTACGTGTTCCCAGTACGGCCCGACCCATTCCTGCTTCCCGCACAAGGCCAGTGGTGTGTGTTCCCAGTACAGTCCAGCCCGTTCCTGCTCCCCGCACCAAGCAAGTGGTGCGGGTTCCCAGTCCGGCCCGGCCCGTTCCTGCTCCCCGCACCAAGCCAGTGGTGCGTGTTCCCAGTCCGGCCCGGCCCGTTCCTGCTCCCCGCACCAAGGCAGTGGTGCACGTCGTCAGCCCGGTCCGGCCCGTTCCTGCTCCCTGCACCAAGCCAGTGGTGCGCGTCGCCAGCCCGGTCCGGCCTGTTCCTGTCCCTCGCGCCAAGCCAGTGGTGCGCGTCGCCAGCCCGGTCCGGCCTGTTCCTGCCCCTCGCACCAAGCCAGTGGTGCGCGTCGCCAGCCCGGTCCGGCCTGTTCCTGCCCCTCACACCAAGCCAGTGGTGCGCGTCGCCAGCCCGGTCCGGCCTGTTCCTGCCCCTCGCACCAAGCCAGTGGTGCGCGTCGCCAGCCCGGTCCGGCCTGTTCCTGCCCCTCGCACCAAGCCAGTGGTGCGCGTCGCCAGCCCGGTCCGGCCCGTTCCTGCTCCCCGCACCAAGCCAGTGGTGCGCGTCGCCAGCCCGGTCCGGCCCGTTCCTGCTCCCCGCACCAAGCCAGTGGTGCGCGTCGCCAGCCCGGTCCGGCCCGTTCCTGCTCCCCGCACCAAGCCAGTGGTGCGCGTCGTCGGCCCGTTCCTGCTCCCCGCACCAAGCCAGTGGTGCGCATCGTCAGCCCGGTCCGGCCCGTTCCTGCTCCCCGCACCAAGCCAGTGGTGCGTGTGTCCAGTCCGGCACGGCCCGTGCCTGTTCCACCGGTGTCTGGTCCGGCACCGGTCAGCTGCTCCACTCTGGAGCCAGAGCAATCCGCTCCACCGGGGTCCGGTCCAACTCCAGTCAGCGGATCCACTCCGGAGCCAGAGAAATCCGCTCCACCGGTGCCCAGTCCAGCTCCGGTCAGGGGCTCCAGTCCGGAGCCTGTACAGTTAGATCCACCGTCGTCGGATCCAGCTCCAGTCAGCGGTGCCAGACCAGACCAGGGGCACAACTGGGAGATGGAGAGAAAGTGGTGGTCACGCCCGGAGCCGGATCCGCCGACGGTGGACCCAGTCCCTGGCTTGGTGCGAGGGGCAGGAACAGGCCGGATCGGGCTGGCGACGCGCACCATCCGAGGCGGAATGCCCACCCGGTCCCTACCCTGTTATGTTTATGTGGCGCGGTCGGAGTCCGCACCTTTGGGGGGGGGGGGGGGGGGGGGTACTGTCACGTCCTGACTCAGGGGACGTTTATTTGTAGAGTCAGGGTGTGTATATTCCTTGTTATGTTAAGTTTTCTATGTTAGTGTCTAGATCGTGTAGATCTATGTTGGCCAGGGTGGTTCCCAATCAGAGGCAGCTGTAGCTCATTGTCTCTGATTGGGGACCATACTTAGGCAGCCGTTTGGCACCAGTCTGTGTGGGATCTTGTTCCGTATAGGTATGTTATTAGTCTACCTTGGACTTCACGTATTGTTTGTTTGTTGTTTTGTTCGTGTTCAGTACGTTAATAAATATGTACGCTTATCACGCTGCGCCTTGGTCCGTCTCATCCGTAAACGATCGTGACACCCAGGTTTTGGAACTTTGGCTTTCCTGGATATAGCCACTATATTGTGATCACTGCATCCAATTGGTACGGATACAGCTTTAGAACAAAATTCTACAGGATTAGTAAAAATGCATGTGGATGATCTTGTTCCTGTAGTGTTTGTAAACATCCTGGTAGGTTGATTATTAACCTAAACCAGATTGCAGGCACTGGTTACAGTGAGAAACTTCCTCTTGAGCAGACAGCTTCATGAAACCCAGTCAATATTCAGGTCCCCAAGAAAGTATATCGTCTCTGTTTACATCACATACACTATCAAGCATTTCATACATATTATTTTGATACTGACTGTTAGCACTTGGTGGCCTATAGCAACACCACAAAAGAAAAGGCTTTAGATGTGCCAAGTGAACCTGCAACCACAACACTTCAAAAACACTTGACATAAGATCTTCTCTAAGCATTACAGGGATATGGCTCTGAATATATACAGCAACACCTCCCCCATAAGCATTCCTGTCTCTTCTATTCATGTTATATCCTTGTATTGCTACTGCTGTATCATCAAATGAATTATCTAAGTGAGTCTCAGAAATTGCTAATATATGAATGTTATCTGATGTTAGCAAGTGATTGATTTCATGAACCTTATTTCTAAGGCTACATATATTAATTTGGGCTATTTTGAGCCCTTTCATGGGATAGCTTATCAGAGATAGACATAATATGGAAAGAGCAAACAAAGCAAGAGAAAAAAATTGACATTCAGCAGTCCGTTAATCAGTTGGTGTGTGTAAGTGTGTGCTGCGGGGTTGAAGCTACGAACCCATAGGCTTGGCTCTATCAACCCTTCCAGGCTTCTGGGAGGGAGGGTGGACAATGAGCCTGTCATAGCGGATGTAAGCAATGTGCCCACGCTCTCTAGCAGCTTTCATGGCTGGGATAAGTTCTTTCCTCTTCTGGCGCACAGCTTCCGGATAGTCCTTGTTGAGGAAGATATATGTTCCTCTCAAGTTCTTGGCTCTTTCCAGAACAGCTACCTTGACCTTGAACCTCAGGGACTTGACCACTATCGGCCTGGGCCTGTCACCTGGGTCGGTGGTGGGTTTTCCAGTTCTGTGAGCGCGCTCCACCTCAATCTTCCTGTTCTCCATCTTCAATTTCCCCAAGATAATTTCCCTCACTTTGTCCTCAGACTCCGTCCAGGTCTCATGTGGAAATTCTGCAATTCCGTCCACAACCATGTTGTTCCGCCTTGATTGTCCCTCGAGATAATCTGATTTTTCCGTCATTGTTATCATGGATTCACATACAGAACTGATGTCCTCTCTCAATGACTAACAGATTGCTGTCATCTTGCCGTTCTTCCATTTAAACTCACTGAGCTGACCCTGGGAGAACTGCAAACTGTTCTTCAGGTCCTGTGCCTCTCTGGTCAGGTCGTCCATTCTTTTATTAGTTGACTCCACCAGTATTTGGATAAAACACTTGAAGCAATTTTCTTGTTGTTGTAACAATTGCTTGTAGAACTCTTTTTGTTCATTTAAAAGATCCTTCACCTGTGATAGAGAGACACCACTGTCCTCAACGGTACTCCCACCGGCTTTGGTCTTTGTCATGGTAGCAACATAGGTCGCAGGGAAGATTGAAAACAACAACAAACAGCACAGATCTAGACAGCCACAAGCCCGGAACAATCCGCGGTCCCAGCCACAATGGTTAACCGCGTCGCGGGATGCATTCAAACCCTCAAGAAAACCCTGCTAGCTTGATAGGAGCTAGCCTACGCCAAACAGCTCCTCAGACCCAGCCTTGGTTGGCAGGATCACTGGACAGATAGCAGCAGTCCCAGCAACTGATGCCAACTGCATCACGGGATCCAAACTCAAAAGGTAGCTAGCTACTAAGAAACGTTTCAATAGACGTTCAAAACATTCCAAAACACAAACCGAGCTCTCCCTCATTCCGCGTTCAACAGGAAGTGAATATACAAATGCTAGACAGTGGAATTGGTGGATGGTGTTAAGATTGTTAGTGAAGATGTCTTTCCAATCTGCCAATAGGGTAAACCAGATTTGGAGTGATCATATGAATGGGATAAATGAAGCAGAGAATCGTGCTGAGGTGACGAGTCCTACACTCCAACATGTGTGTCTATGTATTTGCAAATGGCTAGAGGTTGATCTTTAATGAGATCGGAATGGGACTCATGCCAAGTGTGGAGAAGTGTGAGAAAATGAATATGCACATTAATCCGCCTGTTACACAAAAACATGCCATAGAAATGTAGATAGCCATCTCCACAGGGTCTAACTGATCTGACGAAGTTACAAAATTAGACAGTTATGCAGGCCTTGTTACATGTACACACACACTCACAGTCTCAATACGATACACACTCACAGTCTCAATACGATACACACTCACAGTCTCAATACAATACACACTCACAGTCTCAATACAATACACACTCACAGTCTCAATACGATACACACTCACAGTCTCAATACGATACACACTCACAGTCTCAATACGATACACACTCACAGTCTCAATACGATACACACTCACAGTCTCAATACGATACACACTCACAGTCTCAATACAATACACACTCACAGTCTCAATACGATACACACTCACAGTCTCAATACGATACACACTCACAGTCTCAATACAATACAAACTTTTCTCAGATGAGCACATCACATCTGGCTGAGGAGGACATTACCAGTTATCATCGTCTCTTGTCATGCAGCACCAAACCCCACTGTCACCTCACCTCGTTGGTAAACAGAACTGTTGTTGTCGCCAAAAGGAGCCACACAAAGCCATGCCTGTACCCACTACCCACCCCACCTCAGCTCTACCCAGCCCTGTACCCCCTCCTTCCTCTGCCCTCACCAGGGTTTGTGCCCAGTGCCCACCCTTCAGCCACTCTGCTCGGTCCACCCCCAATCTACCATTGAGCATCCGCTCCCAATCTCCAAGAAATAGGAGACAACCATGTGTGTGTGTGTGTGTGTGTGTGTGTGTGTGTGTCCTCACTGTGCCCTGCTGTTATCCTGGTGGGGCAGGATGGGGTCGATTAGGGAAACCCAATCTGGTGGGAGCAGTTTGGTAGTGAGGGATAAAAGGGGGGACAGAGAGATGAATAGAAAGGAAAGTGTTTCACTTCGTCCACTGAGCCACTCAGACAGAAGGGGAGTGTTTGGGTGGACTACTGTATACTGCTACAGTGCAGTTCAACCAAGGTACATGAACAAACTGGATCTTGCAAGCACCTGGATGTGGGTGGGATGGGGTTGTGGTGGGGTAGGGTTCAATGTGTTTTTGTGGAGTGTTTAAGTCTAGATTTGGCAAAAATTCATAGTGTGTAAAATATACCCTGAGGTCAACATTTTGACTACCTTTGAGTGTAAAGACATCAAGACCTGGTTTGTGCATGCATACACCAAAAACGGTGTAATCACCCAATGTGGGATTTGCTGTTTGGTTAGAACCACAAGAAAACAAAACCTCTTTTGATTGACTGACTGAATGAACTCCTCCTCTCTCAGTCAGTACACACACAGAGACACACACATAAATATATTTGAGTCAAGCAGAGAAAGATGCACATCAGCCAACATCTATGGCTTTTGTGTTTCTTATACATAGGAACATCAGCTCAAGACTCACTCAAACTGCACTTGAACTTGTTGTCGCTCCAGATTTCAGCTCCGCCCCGAAACTGATGTCACGTAGGTGAATCCACAAGTTCAGGTGCGTCTCTGCGAGTGCTCAGAGCACATCAGTTCAATTCAGCCGTAAATCAATGGTCTGCGTCTCACCTTAGACTGTCTCTCCCTGGAACTCTGTTTGATCTGACCATGGCAGAGTGAACCAAGTAGAAGAACTTCATGGAGGTTCCCTGAAACACAGGAGAAAAGGTGAGGAAGACAGGTTGGTGTGTTTTTCTGTTCTCTTTCAGCTAAGTGACTTCTTTTTCTCTATTTATTTAATTAGATGGAAAATTAAAAACAATTTGGAGATGTTATGTAAAAAGTATTTTTGTTATTACATGATGGAAGTATTGTGGAGTTGAAAATAATAATTTCATCGTGCATGATGTATTGACTTTACTTATTATAATAATAATCATAATCATAATAATAATAGATTTATTTTATATAGCGCTTTTCATTACACATTGAATCTCAAAATCACTTTAAAAACAACTTATGAAGTGAATAAAAAAATAACACTTCAACTTCAGCCATATTGATATTGTATTATTATAACATGTAAAGCCCATTGATGTGACTATTGGGTGTCTTCGAGAGGTGAATGTAACGTGTAGTCATAATGCAGTTATAAAAACGAAGTATGGCTGTGTAGAGCAGCTGTACACTCTTAGGGAAAAAAAGGTGCTATCTAGAACCTAAAAGGGTTCTTCGGCTGTCCCTACAAGAGAACCCTTTGTAGAACCCTTTTTGGTACTAGGTAGAACCCTTTTGGTTCCAGATAGAACCCTTTTGGGTTCCATGAAGAACCCCAGAGTTCTACATGGAACCCAAAAGGGTTCGTCCTGAAACCAAAAAGGGTTCTCCTACGAGGATAGCCAAAGAACCCTGTTTTTTTCTAAGAGTGTAGCACAGTAGAAGTGTGGGATGGATCAATAGTTCATTACAATATTGGCACTGCTCTAGCCAAGCAACTGTATTCAGTGCTCTCTCTCTCTCTCTCTCTCTCTCTCTCTCTCTCTCTCTCTCTCTCTCTCTCTCTCTCTCTCTCTCTCTCTCTCTCCTCCTCCTCTCATCTCTATACTTCCTCTTCTCATCTCATTCTTTTTCTCCTCCCTCTCTATTTAATTTTTTACCTCAACTTTCACCCCCTTTCTCCTCTCCTCTCTCCCCAGTAGAGTGGATTGTTCCTGGGCAGCAGAGGATCGATGAGCTGGGGGACCCTGTACCTAATGTTCTCCTATCTCCTCCTTCCTCTCTCTTCCCTCCAACTCTCCCTTCTTTGATCCAGACCTCACCCCCTCTCTCCTCTGGTCTCTCCCCAGGGTAGAGGTGTGTGTTCTGGGCCAGAGGAGCAGGAGAGATGACCTGGGGAACCCTGTACACCCAGCTGGCTGGTGTGAACCGCCACTCCACCAGCCTGGGGAAGGTGTGGCTGTCTGTCCTCTTCATCTTCCGGGTCACCGTGCTGGTCCTGGCGGCCGAGAGCGTCTGGGGGGACGAACAGAGCGACTTTGTCTGCAACACCCTGCAGCCGGGCTGCGAGAACGTCTGCTATGACCACTTCTTCCCCGTGTCCCACATCCGGCTCTGGTGCCTGCAGCTTGTCTTCGTCTCCACGCCCGCTCTCCTCGTCGCCATGTACGTGGCCTACCGTAATCACGGCGACAAACGGCAGGTCCTGCAGCAGGGTTCAGTCGGGGGGCGTTGCCGCAGCGACAAGGCCCAGGCAGCCCAGGAGGCGGAGCTAGAGAGCCTAAGGAGGCGGAGGCTGCCGATCGCCGGGCCACTGTGGTGGACATACGCCTGTAGTCTGGTCTTCCGCCTGCTGTTCGAGGGAGGCTTCATGTACGTACTGTGTTAGCCCACTGAGCAAAGCCTAACAAGTCTTTAATTCAGGCAGACAGGTTATTTGAGTGTAGCTCAATGAACCATCTCCATTACATACAAACACTTAAGAATAAGATGTAGATACACTTCCTCAAGATTCATGACATCACCATGTACAGATGTAGGATCTTAATTTGATCACCCTGTTGCAGGAGAATGTTCACGCAATGCAGGAAATGTAAAACTTGTAGTGTATTTGAGGTTTAAAAAGGCTTCTGAAGTTTGAAAGTTCCACTTTGAAATGTCAGACTTGATTTGCCCTAATGAAAAATATATCAACCCCTACAAAAATGTCCATTAATAATAATCTGCATAATAATTCACATTTCCTGTTGCTGCAGGATTATTTTCCTGCTGTTGCATTTATCTTCACCTTCGTTCTCCAGGTATGCGCTATACGTGTTGTACGACGGCTTCCAGATGCCCAGGCTGGTCCAGTGTGACCAGTGGCCCTGTCCCAACCTGGTGGACTGCTTTGTCTCCCGCCCCACAGAAAAAACCATCTTCACCGTCTTCATGGCCACCTCCTCCTGCGTCTGTATGGCACTCAACATGGCCGAACTGGCCTACCTGGTCGCCAAGGCCATCGCTCGATGCCTGTCGTCACGACGCAGAGGGGGGAAACAGAAAGGGAAGGGTGCAAACTGTTCCTCAACATCCTCCAAAGACAAGAATGAGAAGTTGTTGCCGTCCTCTTCGTCTGGGTCCACCTGCAGCAAGGCGGTGTGAGGACAGGGGAGCTATAGACATAGTGTACATATACACACGCAGACATGCAAAACATAAGTAGCCTATAGTACACACACACACCGAATCACAAATATCTGTAAATACTGTGTAGTCCACTCCAGACATGCACAGAAGCTCTCCTTCCCTGCTTCAGTCACTGGAGTAACTACGCCATCTAGTGGCCAATATTCACACACGCCCACTGACCCCTCACAGGCAAAGACATAGGCCTACAAACAGACAGACAGACAGACAGACAGTTTGTATAGCTCCTATGGAATTGTGATGTTGGTAATGAAGAGATAACATTGTAAATATACTGACAATGGAATTCGCAGAATCACAGTAGAGTACTATGAGTAAATGCTTATGCAATGACCTACAGAGGATGTGTGTGTTTTAAAAACTCCTGAAATAAAATGATTCTATATTTTATATACTGTGTGATCATTGAGACACATTTGAGCAAAGCTGCATTTCACAATATGGGTGATGGTGGGTGTTCAGATAATGATTGTCAATCATGTGGTTGTGTTAGTGGGCCTGAGGAAGCACATCCCAGCACTTAATCATGAGATTTTCAGATAGCACAAATGTAAAATAGAGTACTACAAAAAAATATATAAAGTGCACAAAGAAGATGTTCAGATAACTCATCTATATGCATTTAGGCCTACGGTTCTCCAACATAGTCAAGGCCATAATTTCCCCCCTGGGCGCGGAGACGCCATGTACAGTTTTGGAGTCCCGGTGTGGAATTTCGGAAGAGCAGGGTGGCAGGGTGGGGTGGGAGGTGACGGGGGGTTGACGGGTGGGCGACACCCCCCCCCCCCCCCCTCCCCCACGCGTGCACTCATGGATGGTCACACAATGTGACAGTAGCGATGGCTGGGCACGGGACGCAGCCGCTGCGCTTTGCGGGACCCCATCTCCAGGTTCCACACGCGCCCTTAGACTAGCCTCGCTTTTCTCACCCTCGCGCTGTCTCTCTCTCTCTCTCTCGCTCTTGTTCGCTCTCTTTCTCTCGCGCACGCCTGGCCTCGAACCCCGCGGGAGAAAAGAAGAGAACGCAGATCTCGACGCTTCCGGGAAAAAGTTTTTGGCCGGCCGCTGTCAAAGGAGATTGGTAAGCTGTCAGAGCTGCGACGATTTGGAGAATGAGAGGGAAGGGGAGGGATCTTTCTACCTGGGGAGGTCTGTAGGATTTTCCAACCCTTTCAAAATTTGGATAGCTTCAGTGACCACCGGATATTGCTTCAAGTGGCCAAGGCTTGGGTAGCCTATCCATCCACCCTGTCCATATGCTTATTTGGGAACGCCAAGTAACCACTTTTACGCTCGCCAATTCCAATGCAAGTGATGTTGAATTGATTTAGCCTACAATCAATTACTGTATCAATAGGGATTCTGGTAGGATATCTACCACTGCCTAAGGTTTATATTTTTAAATAGCTTGGGTCAGTGTGGTCAAATAGTTAAATGGTGCGGCTGCTGGAACACAATGCCGCTGATCCGTCAATAACCAGTGCCAAGGAGCATAATGCGCGTCTGGCAGCTTCTCTATTGTCAGAGGTGACAGACGGTATTTCATCAAAACCTCAAAAGGATCAACACATATAATGTGAAGCTCGACACATACTGTCATTATAGAGGGGCATTGCACCAGTTTGATACCAGTCCGTTATTGAGCAGGCTAGGCCAGGCATAACTGGACCATGGAATCATCTATTGAAATGAATATTGAACTGTAGAAGGCCAGTGATTTGAGTTCAGCTAATATGAGCTACATTCAGCAACAATGCACCACCAATCGATAGATTAGGATACTGTGATAATCATAGTAATCAAATATTTTACAGTAACAGCCTGACTGTGTTTAAACATGAGGAAAATAGGCCCTTTTTTTCAAAGTTTGTAAAAACACTTCATTTCCAAACAGCAGTTTGTAACAGGTAGAGTAATGCCACTGGGGTCAGTTTTTTGTTGTTGTATCTATGCATTGGTGAGATAGAGCCCTCTGTAAATGCATATCAGTTGATCCGGGGCAAATATTTCCCCTCATCAGCAGTTCTGTGTTCTGATGATCCCAGCATTCCTCCCAGGCTGTTATGTACTCATTCAGACTGCCACAGATGGCCAGCCATTGTAACCCGCTTGCCCAGCAACACATAGACAGGCCTATGGATAGATTGTCGACATTCCTCAATTAAATCTGCCTTTCAAAACAAAACGAATATGTCTATCATTGATGTGGCATGCATAGGGTTCATGGTTCCATGTAGTCTGTCCAATTAGAAACCCCAAAGTCACCTATTTCAGAGAAATATACATTTTGGGGGAAGATGATGTAGGTTTTTGACATTGAAGACATGATACATTTTTATTGGTGGCCTGAAGGCTTGTAGAAGCCAGTATAAATTGCGAAAACATCTTATCTTCAAGATTAGAGTTTTCCACTTATCTCTGAAGTGTCTATATCGTAAGTTGCATGGACAATAGGCATACAAGAGAATGGTCAATTTGGGTATTTGGGTAATGTAAGCATATTTAAATGACATTATAATGTAATTCATAACTGATATGATTTGTTTTTGCTTCCAGGTATTGTATTTCTTTTGAACCACTAGTCGATGGATTTATCACTGACAATACAACAACATTTTAGTAAGTCCACCGTCTTTCACTGCTTTGGGGTGCTTTTTTGGGTCATCGGATATCTGGTCCTTTTTTCATCTGCTTTGCAATGTGTTCAGAAGTTGTCGTGGGCACTGGATTCTCAATTATGGCTGGTTTCAAATTGATAGAACTGTAAAATGTCAGCACTGAGAAAAGCTTTCCTTTCAATTGTTGTTAATGATTCTAGTAGGCCTGTAAGAAGCACAATGGTGGTGCTCAGGATTTTTTATTGGAGCGTTTAATCTCAGTCTCCAGTACTGTGATTAGAGAATGTATTAGAGAAGTATGTGGCCTGTCGAGAGTGAAAGTGATCAAAGCAGCTTGTTAGTCCCGTATGACTGACTCGATGGCGTCGATCCTGTGTCCGAGGGAGACAAGTGTTGTTCGGTGGTCTCCACAGATTTTCTGGGCTGTGGGATGCCACATTACAGAACCTTCAGATAGAAATATATTAGAACAGATATGTCTCCTTTATGTAGAACAGGGAATCATGCCGCCTCCTAAATGCAACCCCGCTGCCTACTTCAGTGCCAAACGCATTGGCTTTGACTGAGAGATTGTGTGACTTCACAGAGTGATGTCGGGAGAAGAAAGTACATAGGATGGATACATTATGTGTACACAATATGACAGTAATGATTTCTAATATTATGGCTTCAAACCAGAGGTCAACTCCACCAATGTTTGTTTTGGTTTCTGAACCTGTACATTTTCATTCAAGGTTTTTATTCCCCTCTTTTCTCATGTCCCCCTCTCTCATTTCCCTCCTCCCTTTCCTGTTTCCTTACTCTCTCAGTTGTTACTCACCCATGCCTGTGCTCCCCCTCTCCCTGGCCTATGCTCCCTCATTCTGTGTGTGTTCTCTCCCCACCTCTCTCCTCCCTCTCATCCCCAGTCGGTGCCTATGCAGCCCTATTCCCTCTCTGTCACTCCCTCCTATCTCCATCTTTCCAGCTTTCCCCCACCTCTCTATCTGCACCTCTCTCCAGCTTCACCCGACCTCTCTCCTGCCTCTCCTCCAGCCTCTCCCCTCTCCCCCAGCCTCTCCCCCAGCCTCTCCCCACCTCTCTCCCCCAGCCATTCCCCCCCAGCCTCTCCCCACCCAGGCCTCACCCAGTTGCTACTCATCCCAGGCTGTGCTCTCTCTCCCCAGGCTAGAAATCGTGTGAAGCATGGGTGACTGGAGCTTTCTGGGTCGGCTGCTGGAGAACGCTCAAGAACACTCCACCGTGATTGGCAAGGTCACTGATTGATTGATTTATACATTTATACAGTTATTTGATTGACTAAAATACATGTACATTACTGTATGTCACCTTATGACCCTTTTATTCCTGTGATATATAGCCCCTTATACCGTCTGATGTGACGTTATGTCCCTTGTGTCCAGGTGTGGCTGACAGTCCTCTTCATCTTCCGTATCCTGGTCCTCGGGACGGCTGCGGAGGAGGTGTGGGGTGACGAGCAGTCGGACTTTACCTGCAACACGCAGCAGCCCGGTTGCGAGAACGTGTGCTACGACGAAGCCTTCCCCATCTCACACATCCGCTTCTGGGTGCTGCAGATTATCTTTGTGTCCACGCCCACCTTGATCTACCTGGGACACGTGCTGCACATTGTCCGCATGGAGGAGAAACGCCGCGAGAAGGAGGAGGAGCTGCGGAAGGCCAGCCGGCAGCAGGAGGAGAGAGACCCTCTGTACAGGAACGGAGGAGGAGGAGGGGGAGGAGGGAAAAAGGAGAAGCCCCCAATCAGAGACGAGCACGGTAAAATTCGCATCCGGGGGGCTCTCCTGCGCACGTACGTGTTCAACATCATCTTCAAGACGCTGTTCGAGGTGGGCTTCATCCTGGGTCAGTACTTCCTGTATGGCTTCCAGCTCAGCCCCCTGTATAAGTGTGGTCGCTGGCCCTGCCCCAACACGGTGGACTGCTTCATCTCACGCCCCACAGAGAAGACCATCTTCATCATCTTCATGCTGGTGGTGGCCTGCGTCTCCCTGCTGCTCAACCTGCTGGAGATATACCACCTGGGATGGAAGAAGGTGAAGCAGGGGGTCAGCAACGAGTTTGCGCCCGACCGAATGGCGCTCCCCCTGGCCAGAGACGAGGCGGTGGAGTCCAATATGATCCAGGAGGGGATCGCCCACCCGGCCCTCAACTGCCTGCCTACATACGGTGGCGTGAACGTGGTGTACCTGCCCAATGAGCAGGCAAACGCCATGGCCACCTTATCCGAGCAGCAGGCAGTGGCGGCGGAACTCAAGATGGACCGTTTCCATGAAGACTTCCTGCTGGAGGCTCCTCCCACATCCTTCTACGGCAGCGAGGGCAGCGGCCAGCAGCAGTCCGTGGAGCAGAACTGGGCCAACATGGCCATGGAGCTGCAGACTCTGGACGCTGCCAAGTCCTCCTCCTACCCTCCTCCTCCCTCCTCCCCTTCTCCCCTACCCTCCTCCTCTTCCGACCAGGAGCAGTCACCCCCTCCACCGGACACTGCCCCTCCTATCCCCGACTCCCGCTCCTCCACCCTCCCCCTGGGGGAATCGAGAAGGAGTGAGGAGCACCAGCAGCAGGAAGAAGAGGAAGTGGAGGCGGTGCTGCCACTGGCGCACGGTGATGATGTCATGGTGACCCGGGTGGAGATGCACGAGCCGCCCGTTTTCATAGCAGCGGACGCCCGGAGGCTGAGCAGGGCCAGCAAGACCAGCAGCGTCCGAGCCCGGCCCGACGACCTTGCCGTGTAACACACACACACACACACTCTCACACACACACACACTCTCACACACCTTCACACAATCACATACAAACACATGCAGACCCCTATCCACCACCGCACCCCGATGACTCCGGGTTCGATACATGATATATCTATGATGATCAGGTGTCAAATGTTGTGTGAAATACAGAGGCAATGTGGGAGGGGGGGGGGGCCTCTGGAGTTGAGATGCTCCTGATATTACTCTCTAAAAAAGTGACGTTATCTGGAGATGCAATCGATGAGGTGAGGCATAGCTTGGTGCTTCAAAGTTAAGAGTTGCCAACATGTGTGTGGCGAGTTAACACACACATTCACTGTTTGCAGCGCAGATGCCATGAAAGGGTTAGAGATATTGGACTAACTAGTTGGGGACATTAGCGACATTTCAGATGAACATAATTCTGCTGTTTTCTTTATTCTTTGATGGGAGACATCAGAAGAGGGTTTGCGCTTTCGTTTATTTTTTTATTTTTTTCCCCTTTCTTTTTATTTTCTTGTGATGGACCCTTTAAGATGAAGCCGATGTGTCCTATTGTCTCTTCCTAGTGTCCTGGTGTCTGTCTGTCTGCCTCGTAGCTAGCTGTCTGTCTGTCCGTTCCATGCTCACCCTTCCTATTAAGCTCAATGAAGAGAGGGACGCTCTGACATTATGGTGGAGTGGAGAGAGACGGGGATAGGGTACCTGGGTGGCACTTTATACAAAATTACTTGGTATTTACTTACAAATTACATGGTAATTACACAATAATATCTTATGAAATACTTGTAAAACAAGCACGACTAGGCACATTTTGTTACCAGGTAGTTAACAATTAAGTACCCTCTGATAATATGTAATGTACTAGTACATACCAGGTTAATACCAGTGCGTAAGGTGACCTGCTACCGGTAACTGTGGTGTGTAGCCATACTAGTGTGTAGCTTCAACCATGTTACCGCCGTGATCCCAACCTGAGGCTTGGTCTTTAGGCTTCACAGGCTTTGTGTGTGTGTGTTTCTGTGACGAGGTGTGAATGAAGGAGTCAGGCGCAAGAGGTAAAATACGAAGTCCAGAGTTTATTCCGTTTACATAAATCAAACGCCCAAAGCGTCAAACGAAACTATTACAAAGGAAAACATCCACCTTGGCATAAACACAGTGAACAGTAGCTCAACCGAGCTACACACTCTCACAACAAACAATCACTCACAAAGACAAGGGGAACAGAGGGAACACTTATACACATACTAATTAGGGGAATGAGCACCAGGTGTGTGTGATTGACAAGACATGACAAGTAGAGTGATGAGAATGGGATCGGTAGTAGCTAGTACTCCGGTAACGACGAACGACGAAGCCTGCCCGAACCAGGAGGGGGGACAGCCTCGGCGGAAGTCGTGACTGTACCCCCCCCCCCCCCCGACACACGGCTCCAGCAGTGCGCCGACCCTGGCCTCGGGGACGGCCAGGAGTACGCGGAGCAGGGCGAGTCGGATGGCGACGGGGAAAATCCCTCAACAGGGAGGGATCGAGGATGTCCCAGCACCGTTCCTCCGGACCGTACCCCTCCCACTCCACGAGATACTGAAGGCCCCCACCCGACGCCTCGAATCCAGGATGGAACGGACCGAGTTTGCCGGGGCCCCCTCAATGTCCAGAGGAGGTGGAGGAACCTCCCGTACCTCAGACTCCTGGAGCGGACTAGCTACCACCGGCCTGAGGAGACACACATGAAACGAGGGGTTAATACGGTAATCAGGGGGGAGTAACAACCTGTATGTCACCTCGTATATTCTCCTCAGGACTTTAAACGGCCCCACAAACCGTGGGCTCAGCTTCCGGCAGGGCAGGCGGAGGGGCAGATTCCGGGTCGAGAGCCAGACCTGATCCCCCGGTACGAACACCGGGGCCTCCCTCCGGTGGCGGTCAGCGTTGGCCTTCTGACGACGCACGGCGCGCTGGAGGCGAACGTGGGCAGCGTCACAAGTCTACTCCGCGCGCCGAAACCAGTCATCCACCACAGGAGCCTCGGTCTGGATCTGGTGCCACGGTGCCAGAACCGGTTGGTAACCTAAAACACATTGGAAGGGTGTTAGGTTAGTGGAGGAGTGGCGGAGAGAGTTCTGAGCATATTCTGCCCATGGCAGGAACACCGACCACTCCCCCGGCCGGTCCTGACAGTAGGTCTGCAGGAACCTACCCACATCTTGATTCACCCTTTCCACCTGCCCATTACTCTCGGGGTGAAATCCAGAGGTCAGGCTGACCAAGACCCCCAGAAGTTCCATCAATGCCTTCCAGACTCTAGACGTGAACTGGGGACCTCGGTCGGACACTATATCCTCTGGTACCCCGTAGTGCCGGAAGACGTGAGTAAACAGAGCCTCTGCAGTTTGTAGGGCCGTGGGGAGACCGGGCAGAGGAAGGAGGCGGCAGGACTTTGAAAAGCGGTCCACAACGACCAGGATAGTGGTGTTACCTTGGGAGGGGGGAAGATCAGTGAGAAAATCAATACTCAGGTGAGACCATGGTCGTTGTGGAACTGGTAAAGGTTGTAGCTTACACGCTGGGAGTTGCCTAGGTGCCTTACTCTGGGCGCACACTGAGCATGAGGAAACATACCCCTTCACATCCTTAGCCAAGGTAGGCCACCAGTACTTCTCGGTCAGGCAGCGCATTGTACGACCGATACCTGGATGACCAGAGGAGGGTAACGTGTGTGCCCAGTAGATCAGACGATCACGGATAAGCGCAGGCACGTACTGCAGCCCAGCTGGACACTGCGGTGGAGATGGATCTGTGCGTAATGCCTGCGCTGTATCTGCGTCCATCGCCCATACTACCGGCGCCACAGTGCATGAGGCCGGGAGTATGGGGGTGTTGTCTCTGGGCCTCTCCTCTGTGTCATACAGCCGAGACAGTGCGTCTGCCTTCACGTTCTTCGTACCCGGAATGTATGAGAGTGTGAAATCAAACCGGGTGAAGAAGAGGGCCCACCTGGCCTGGTGAGGATTCAGCCTCCTCGCTGCCTGAATGTACTCCAGGTTATGGTGGTCTGTCCAGACGAGGAAAGGGTGTTTCGCCCCTTCAAGCCAATGTCTCCACACCGTCAAAGCTCGGACAACAGCTAGCAGCTCCCAAACACCAATGCCGTAGTTCTGCTCCGCCAAGCTGAGCTTCTTAGAACAGAAGGCACAGGGGCGGAGCTTGGGTGGCATGCCCGAGCATTGGGATAAGACAGCTCCTATCCCTACCTCGGACGCATCCACCTCCACTACGAACGGTAGTGATGGATCGGGATGAGCCAGTACCGGGGCTGAGGTGAACAGACCCTGCAATCTACTGAAGGCCAAATCAGCCTCAGCAGACCAGCGGAGCCGGGACGGCCCACCCTTCATCAAGGAGGTAATGGGAACTGCACCTTGCCAAAGCCCCGAATAAACCTTCGATAGTAGTTGGCAAAGCCAAGGAAGTGCTGCACCTCCTTTACCGTGGTTGGAGTCGGCCAATTACGCATGGCTGCAATGCGGTCTCCCTCCATCTCCACACCTGTGGTGGTAATGCGATATCCGAGGAAGGAGATTGACTGCTGGAAAAACTCACACTTCTCTGCCTTGGCATAAATATCATTTTCCAGCAGTCGGACCAGTACCCTGCGAACCAGGGACACATGCTCGGTGCGCGTAGCGGAATACACCAGGATGTCATCGAGGTAGACCACCACACCGCGACCAAGCATGTCCCGAAACACCTTGTTCACAAAGGACTGGAAAACGGATGGAGCATTCATCAAACCGTAGGGCATCACCAGGTATTCAAAATGCCCCGAGGTTGTGCTGAATGCTGTTTTCCATTCATCCCCTTCCCGAATACGCACCAGGTTGTAGGCATTCCTGAGGTCAAATTTGGTGAAAAAGCGGGCCCCATGTGTTGACTCAATCACTGAAGGAATGAGGGGAAGAGGATAACTAAATCGTACCATCACATTATTCAGTGGTCGATAATCAATTCACAGGCGTAAACCGCCATCTTTCTTCTTCACAAAGAAGAAACTCGAGGAGGCAGGTGAAGTGGAGGAACGTATATACCCCTGGCGCAGGGACTCGATGACGTATGTTTCCATAGCCTCCGTTTCAGCGTGCGACAGGGGATACACATGACTCCTGGGAGGTACAGCGTCTACCCAAAGGTTTATCGCGCAATCCCCCTCCCGATGAGGTGGTCATTTAGTCGCTTGCGTCTTGGAAAACGCGAGTGCCAGATCATGGTATTTGGGGGGAATGTGCACGGTGGGGGTACCGTCTGAACTTTCCACTGTGGTCGCACCAACGGAAACACCTAGACACCTACCCGGACACGCACGCGACCACCCCGTAAGAACCCTCTGCGGCCATGAGAAATTGGGGTTGTGAAGGGCTAACCACGGGATACCTAAGACTACAGGGTAAGCAGAAGACTCAATAATCATAAAGGTGATCTGCTCAACATGCGTCTCCTGCGTAATCATGGTGATTGGTACCGTAACTTCCTTAACCAACCCGGACCCTAATGGTCGACTATCAAGTGCTCTGATGGGGAGTGGAATGGTTAGGGGAACCAATGAAATGCCTTGACGGCGTGCAAATGCATTGTCCATAAAATTCCCAGCTGTGCCTGAATCGACTAGCGCCTTACAATGGGAACCTACCAAGTGATCGGGAAAAAATATAGATAAAGTACAGTGCGCCGCAAAGGACTCTGAACACGTTTGGGTGTTCGTTACCTGGGGTGATGCGTGAGTACTCTGCCTACCGCCTCCAGACCCAAAAGTACGTTGACTGCGACGTGAGGTGGATTGTCCCTTCGTGCCACCAGAGTGGCACTGTCACTGTCTTCCTGCGCTCTCTCGACCGGCGGCTCCCCACAGCTCCATCTGCTCTGGGTCAGAGTCGTCCGGAGTGGGAACGGGCAGACCCCTACTAGAACGTCCTCTGGCTGCTAGCAGATTGTCCAGCCGGATGTCC